TGGGAGAGGCAGCAGGATATTTGGCTCAGGGATGTGACAGCCTGGGAGTGCAACGGAATTGTTCTGTTTCTCCTGAACGCTTCTTATTTATGCACATAAACACAGCCGAAATGGCACGCAGGCAAACGCACACACAGGCACACACACACACTCGAATGCACATACACACAGAGCACACGCCACAACCCCAGGTGAAGTCCACATCTGTCTTCATAAGCCCTTTCCTAGCTCCCCAGCCAGTCCAGGAGGAAGGAGGGGACGACTGCCAATTACTTGTGCGAGGGGGAGCCAGGTCTCCATCCATTACTGCGTCCCCTGGGGTAACGGAATGCAACTTCATCTCTGAAGAGAGTGTAACTTGAAACTGGGCTTGGATTCCCCTTATTTATCGACATCATTGTATCAGAATGGACAAACCATACTTCATATGTATTTATTTCTTTTTTTTTTCTTTTTTTTTAAAGCTATATGACTTATTCTAGCTACTTCTAAGCTATCATGGCTTGTAAAGGAAAAGCCACCTGGGAAAGGGATGGGGAGCAGTAGGAAAGCGGGAGACATCAACGTTTTTCTCCAAAGTTGCTGAAAAGCACCCAGAGGCAGGAGCAAGGCCCGAGCCGAGCAGCCTGTCGTTCCCACTCAGCGGCGAGATCAAGCCCATGGCACGCGCCAGGGGGCTCCTGGGCAGACCCCGACGGGGAAGGGAGACGGATAGTGGTGATCACGTCCTCGTCCCTTGGAGGAAGGAGTGGGATGCTGTTCCGCCTGGGATGCGTGGGTGTTTGTCTGCGTCTCTGCGCGTACCCCGCTCTCCAGGATGCTGTCAGGCCGAGTACACCAGGTTTCCCTAAGGAAAACATTGAGAGGAGGGAAAATTGTGCAAGTGATGGCAAAGGCTGCCGAGAGGAGGATTTCCAGGCTAAGCGGTGACCTTTCATGCCCACATACACCGGGGACCTGCTTTGCCACTGCGGCCGGGTCTTTAACCTCTGGGCTGGCAGGGGTTGGGCCGAGGCAGCGAGGGCAGGCAGGGAGGGCGGGATGGGGATGGGAGGCTCGGGCAGGTACTGCTGGACGAGACTTTCTCCTTGGCTGGAGGAACTTCAACCCCGCCAGTGCTTTTAAAACGACCCCTTCTGTTCACAGGCTTTTTTTTTTCTGCCAGAAAGGCAGGGAATTCAGCCCCACTCACACCTCCGCTCTAGCGCCAGCCGGAGGTTAAGGAGGTGAGGACCTTTAGAAGTTCCAAGGGTCCTGTCCCACCTCTCCAGTGTCTTCTGGACGCCAGGTTGTGGGTGGGCACGCTGTTTCTGCAGCTTGCGATATGCGTCCTGCTGGATACTCCTCAGGGATGAAGCAGTCCCGCCCGGCTGGAGAGACATCCCCTCTCAAAGGCTCCTCGCTCCAGTCACAGAAACTGCTCGGGCCTCTGTCACCGCGGCTGCCCGAGGGATGGGGCTGGCAAAGCCTCCGGACCCCGGGGAGGAGGCGGGCTGCTGGCCCTCCTGGGGAGGCTGCCGCCGGCCCCTGCCCATTCCCTCCTGCTGCGCCGGAGGTAGAAGCCTCCGTATGTACTTGCAGCCAAGATTTCCCTCTGTCTAATCTTTCAGGAGAAGGGAGGAGCAGAACAAGAGGTTTTTTAGGGCACTGCTTGGTCTGTCACCTATCAAGTCCAGGAGGTAAAACTTTCCTTCGCAGTCCCTGGAACTTTTTTTTTTTTTAAAATTTTTTTGAAGAGGTGAAGCATAACTTCACGCTAACTTTTAAAGCAACGCTCAAAATTAGAGCCCGACCTTAATTCCCGCTCTAGCGTCGTAGCCCTTCTGCTCCCCTACAGCGAGTGCAGGGGCTGCTGCCCAGGGGGATTCCCCTGGGGACACCGGGGATCAGCCGCCCATGTCAGCAGCCCTCGGCGGCCCCTCCTCTCCCCACTGCACACAGCCAGCTCCCCGAGCAGACGGCTTGAGCCAGGCTCAGAATGGCACGGGCCTGGTAATAGATTTTATCTTAATGTTCGCTCTTATTTCTATTCCTCGTGGGTACGTCCAGCCTCATGAATACTGATGGCAATAAACTCGCAGGCTTTGAGGAGCGAGTTCATTGGCGACACGACCATGCTGTAGCCCTACTTTTATGGCCCGAGATGCTCAGTAAAGCGAAGGAGGCATATATATATATAACGCATTTACATGTCTCCCGCAGTTTTATCCGGCTTCAAATGCAAGAAATAGGCAGATTTCCTTAATTGACTGAACAACCTATCTCGAGAAAGTAATAAAGTAACCCCTTATTCCCACAGTGAAACGATTTATAAATTAATTACTGTAACCCATTGTATTTGATTTCTCATTTAGGATTCCCCAAAGATAAATATACTAAAGTTTATGATATTAAGTATTAACGTCTGATCATAGTTTGCTGTGTATCTCGACTTTTAAAAAAATGTTAATGTGGATCTCACGACTCACTCTAAACCTTCTGGATATTTTTATTTCACCAGATGTTAGCTTTACATTTTGTAGTCGGAGTATTTGTCCTACCCCGAGTGTCAGTGGAAGCACTGAGAGAAAACCTATAGTACATGTGTTATTTGGTGAAGTTCACAGAAAGTCAATATACTATCTAGTGTAAAAGTTATTTTCCATTTAGATGATAAAAATTAACCTTCAGAAGAAAAAAAACGTAAAAAGAACCACAACAAAACCCAACCAACCCTTTGGGTGAATGCACAAAAAGTATTTCCTTGTCCTAATGAGGACCTTCCTTACATCAGCAAAGATCTGCTAATTACTGATGTACAAGCCGCAATAATTGCTTTTGCAGCCAAAGTGTAGAATGTTGTCATATTAAAAATTGAAACGCTTGATGGTGATTTAAGTCCCAGGGTAGTTCACAACGTCCCCTTTCGGGTAAGGAAGGAGACCGGAGGAGCCAGGCAGAGGTCCGGTGAAAAACACTGCAGGTCCTGTCGGTAGTAAAGTTTCTCGCTCTTTCGTAAAAGTGATGCAGAGGAATTACAAGCTAACCAAGATGCCCCTCCAGCAAAACACCTCCCAGACCCCGCTCGCTTTTCACACCCGCTCTGTGGGCAAACCAGTTGCTGGCCCGCGCTCTCGCTCTAAGAACGTCACATTTCGGTGGGTTAGCCTGAAAACGCAGCCTTCCTCTTCCCAGAAAGACACGGAGAGGGGTCGGAAGGGGCAGGGGTCGGTCGTCAGCCGCGTCTCACCGCGCTCCGGGGTCCGCTCGGC